CTGGGAGCACAGAGTGGGGGAGGGGCAGGCTGGGAGGCTTGGGGGCCGGAGCTGGGCTTGGGCCGGGGGTGACGGGCATCTACCTCGGAGGGTTTCGGACAAGTTGGCAGTCCCACGAAGAGGAGGGCCCCCCTGCAGGGTCACGTGGGCCACCTCGCAGATGACCTGGGAGCGAACGTCCCCCGGGGCCAGCGGCAGCGTGGTTGTGCTGGAGATGCTGTAGGAAGCGCTGTCTCCCTCTGGGTCCACGGTGGTCTGGGAGGCTGCCAGCTCATTCCCGTTTTTGAACCATTTCAGGGTGACGTTTCTGGGGGAGAAGCCGTGGGACTCGCAGGTGAAGCTCACAGTCTGCTCAGGTGTGGCCCTGGCCGTGGGGCCCGACACCACGGGGGGAGAGGGTTTGGCTACAAGAGGAGCATTTACGAGCAGTAAGCATGACTGTGGTCATCCTCACCAACGACAGGTATGTGACACTGTGCAGAACCCTCACGGATTATTTTCCAGCCCTGCAGGGGTGGAGGGGGCCCCGAGGAGAGCCGGAACCAGGTGGCCAGCCGCCCGTAGGCCTGGACGTGGCCAAGCCCAGCGCCCCCGGTGAGAGGGGACCGCGGGCCTTTCTCCTACTCGGGTGGGAGTGAGGGGCACGTGAGGCAAATACAGGCAGTTTTGCTTTGAATTTAACACTGAAAATGCTTCTCCAGGACCAATCTCGGATGTGTCTTTATCCCAAACTTAACTTACACCTGGAGCTCTCCCTTCAGGTATTTGTGAATTTACTCTAGTTTTCACTCTTTCCACAAATATTCCATAGGGTCTCATCTCCAATCCCTGAAACCGAGAGGGAGGGAATGAGGGGTTGTTTTTCTGAATCTGCGTTCTTCTCTTGGGTCAGTGTCGGGTTGAAAACCACGATCACGGAGTGCTGAGAAAGCCAAAGATGGTTAATTTTTCAATCGTGAATCAATTTCAAGGACAGAGACACCGGCCTATGGAGCAGGCAGAAGCCCTCTTGTGTCCTGGGAACACACACATCAGTGACTCGAGAGGGAGGGCATTTCACCCACAGAAGGTCCTGTAGGGTGTCTCCAAGTTGTTAATTATTACCTAATGCCTTCCGTAACAAACATAGGAAATATTACAAATATTTACATTTGCAAATATTTAACTTGCTCTCTAAAACTCATCAGACATTTTGGGGACACAGAAAGGAGGTGTCACCAAATAAGACATGAAAACACCAGCAGTCCGGATGCCCTACAGGGACAAGGTGATCAGTTACCGGTTGCGGACAGCATTTTGGGCACCTGACACCAGGCTGATTCCTCCCCTCAGCTCCCTAATCCCTCCAGCAGACCTTTGAGGGGGGCCCAGTATGATCCCACTTATGGGACAAGGTTCAGGGAGGAACGCAGCTAGCCGAGGGCACACAGCAAAGGGCGGGGCTCATCTCCCGGCACACACGAATGATTAGTTTTAGCTTCGCTGTTCTTCCTTCCTACACCTCCGTGTCTGTTTGGGTACCACGCGGATCAAAATACCACCTTGGTAACATGGGAGGATGTATGTGAAACACAGAACCTGGCACACAGTAGGTGCTTAATAAACAACACCTATGATTATTGTCGTGAGATCTGGTCGTGCCTACGTCTGAAACGACTTGTTTGTTAGGCAGTAAGAGAGCAGAACAAAAGCTTAGCAGAAACACAAGAAAAGTCCCAAAGCCAGCTCCCTGCAGCTGCCATGCAAAACCCCAAATGAGAAAAGCAGCAGAAACCAACAAATTATGATTCTCTCCCTCTTCTTTTAATAATCCCCTCAGGAAACAAGTTTGGCGAATTGGCTTTCAAAACACAAACGAGATCACAGGCGTTTTCCCGCAGATTAGCTATTTACAGAGAGCTGGGAGCGTTTTGAAAGAGGGAGGACAGATTTTGTCCGTGACATTTTGGTGTGTCGAGGCAGAGAGGGCTCTGGGGCTGAGCAGCGAGGCTCTGCGTGGATTCCGGCACCTGTTCACACACACGTGTGGTTAAAGATGGGAAGGTCCCCTGGCGGGGCAGCTCGGATCTGAGAAGGGTGTCACCAGCCCCTCTTTGGGCCGGAGGGCAGGAGGCAACTCAGCCCCAGCCATGTTCCTCAGGAGGGTGCCCTGGCCACCCCGATCAGGCTCATTTTCCAAGGAGCTGTCACGCGCACGGGTGATTCTGAAGCACCCACCCACTGAGAAGCTCCTCTCCGGCCCCAGCAGCACAGGGAGCCACCCTTATCAGGGGGAGAAGAAATTCAGCGTTTCCTCTGTGACCTCGGGGAGCGTCCAGCTCAGGGCGCTTCTGCGCTGGCAGTGAGCATCCCCGGAGTCGTTAAATAATTCACCTGCCCAGACTCCTGTCTGACCAATTAAAGCAGAATTTCTAGGGTGGAGTCAGGGTCTGGGGATCTTTTTCAGCGTTTCCCAGGCGATCCCAATGAGCAGCCCAGGTTCAAAGGCACCCACCACCGTCCCCACACCCCCCTTACACTCGAGGCCTGGGAGGAACAGGGACCCAGCCAAGGTCCTATTATAGCTACATTCATGGGATACTGACCGCGTGCCAGGCCCTGCTGTTAGCACCTTAACCGCATTCGCTCACTCAGTCCCTGCAGTGGGGTTGTGCTGTCACACAGAGATGAGGACACGGGGCCCGATGTGGGAATGACTCATCAGAGATCACAGAGCTGGAAGGCAGGGCTAGGTGGGAACCCAGGCGGCGGGGCTCGGCCACTTCCGGAGCCGCTGCGTGCAGATACCCAAGAATCACTTAACCCCCACATCCGGTGCTCTCTGGACCTCCTCTCCAATCCTGAGACCCCTGACCAGCAGCCCGATTATCACCACAGCACAGATGGGACACGGAGGACCTGAGGGACGCCGAGACTGGCCCAGGATCGGACAGCTCTGGGAGGAGCACCCAGGGCTCACTGAGGGTCTGTCCGCTCACACGGATCACTGTGTCCCCCTCATGTCCTGCCGAGGTTGGTCTAATGATCTACTTCCTACAGGTGAGGAAACGGAGCCCAGCAAAGGGAGCCGGGTCACAACCTTGAGGGGCCACCTCCTCCGTGTCAGGTGACGCAGTCAGAGCGCCTCAAATCCTTCAGCTCTCTTAAAGGGAGTCCACGATTAGGACCATTTTGCAGATGAGGAGACTGAGGCAGAGAGGAATGAGGACAGCTCATTTCTGAGGACAGCTAGAGTCTAGAAAATGAACTCTTGCTCACGGGGCTCCGGACAGTCTCTATGAACTGCCTCCCCGTCACCCGCAGTCTGCAGAGCCAGGAATGGGGTGTCTGGGTGGTGTCGCTGGCATGGCGGGGGCCCCCCCTGCTCCGCCCAGGCCCCTGCCCCAGGCTGCTCAGCGAAGGAGCCACATCCCACAACAGGGAAAGACTCCTGATGCTCTCACTGTCCTCCAGGAACAGGCTCAACACTTCATGAGACGTTCGCCTATCTGTCTGATCTGGGGGTGTAATGCTAGCCCCGCCTCCCCCCAAGGACTCTTTCTCGCTCATGCTTACTGCTGACGAACAGAACGAGGCACGATTTTCAAGGAGAGGGTTGTAAGCGCTTCGGAACCTTTGGGGGAAATGATAAAAAGGAAAAACGCGGGCTCACTGCTCAAAGGTTCAGGGTAACTTGGTTTTAGGCCACACCTACTATGCGCTAGGCCCTTCCGTGGAAACCGAATCCAAAGCCGGCTCAGGAAGGAGTCTGCCTGGAATGAGATGGGTTCTGGAATGCGCTCCTTCCTCACGGGACACGTGAGCATGAGCAAGCCCCTGTCACCTTGTGACCTCAGGCTCTGAATCCGTTCACGGGGGATCGGGCGGGATGGGCCCCTCAGGTGCCAACCTCCCAGGATTTTGGATCCTAGGCCTCCGGTAGGAAACCCCCAATGATCATCTTCTGCTTCAAGGAGGCAACTCCTAACGTGGACATTCGGAGATGCCCCAGCTCTGCCTGCAGTCTTCAGTGACCGCCTGAGTGGGTCCCTGAATCCGGCGACAGATTTCTGAACAGACCCACAGCAAATCCCCAAACTCTGGCATCTCCTCCAGCCAGGGTGTCAGAGCTGTGCCTCTCAGGACCTTCATTCTCCCCCCTCCCCGCCCTGGGTGCACTTGTCCTACCGGAAGGGAGGGGAACGTAAGCTTCATGAGAGAAAAGCCTTCGCCTGTTTTGTTCCCTGCGACTTCCAAAGCACCCAGAACAGAGAATGCACACAGCAGGTGCTTAGTAAGTGCTCAGTAAAGAGAAGCCTGGCCACATCGAGCGGAGGTCTCTCCGGAGGCAGGGGTGTGGTTGGGCCTTGTGACTGGGAAAGTCACTCAGACTTTCAGTCCCTCATCGCTGGAGCCAGAGGGCTGGTCAGGACTGGAAAAGGGAAGAGCTGGGAGCCTGCAGACCGCGGTTCCAGATTTTCCCACCGTTTACCAGCCGTGGGGCCTTCAGCAAATAGCACAACCTCTCCAGGCCTCAACTTTCCTGATCCGTGGAAGGGGCTCATTCAGGGGCACCCGCCAAAGCTCCTGATCCTTATCTGCTGCTCAGACAGTGGAGGGCATTCTTACTGACTTGCCGTCACAACCAGGGGACGGAGCGATACTCACCGCTCACGGTGACCTGGGTGCCTGGTCCAGACTTAAACTCCACATCGGGGTTCCCTTTCTGGAACTTCACACAGTAGTAGGTTCCCGTGTCTTCTGGGGTGATGTTACTGATGCGGATGGAAAAGTCCGTGTTGTTTCTCCTTGTGGCGTCTGAAACATTTGTTACTCGAGGGGAGTGAGGGTCTCCTCTGAAACTGAAGATTAACTCCCGGCCTGGCCCTGTGCCCCTGAACCACTCGACCTTCCCAGCGGGGAGCAGGGAGGTCAGGGTGCAGTGAAGAGTGGCCGTCTGTCCGGCCGCCACAGACACCGACTTCTCGGGCTGGATCACCCGCAGTTCCGCCTCACCTGCCACACCTGGGGGGGAGAACAAGACAGCGATTTACCATCCTTCTGCGATCCTGTCCGTCCGCGCAAGTGTTTATCCACAACAGGTTTCACCGACCGAGTGCACACCGTGAGCTCAGCACGCTGCGTGTACCCGGCATGTAGCCCTCGCGACGAGCCTGTGACACGGGACCCTGTTGCGGACGAGGAAACAGCGGGGAGCAGGCTGGAGGTCCTGAGCCCCTCTCCGGAGAAGTCACGTCTGAGCTGGGCTCTGAGCTCACCAGGATGAAGGGGCGCCGTGTTCCTGACAGAGGGCACGGCTGGGCAACGGCCCAGAGGTGGGGGGCAGCACGGTGTGCGTGGGGCTCCACGGGGAGCTTAGATTCTCTTTTGGGCCTGGCCCAGGAAGCAGGCCCCGAGCCAGGAAGCCACACTCGGCAGCTGGGGCTCATCCGGGCTGTGAAGCCGTGAGGCCGGAGGACCTGGGTTTGAATCCTGGCTCAGGCCTTACTGCCTTGTGACTACAGCCATCACCTGGGCCACGGAGGAGATCCAAAAGGGATTGACTGCCCAGCTCCTCGTGGATGGGAGTGGCGGCCTTAGTTCGAGCGGGTGCCTTCACGGCTCTCGAGCTTCAGTTTCCTCATCTGCCTAACAGTTACTATGACCCCATCTCGATGGATCCCCGGCAGCACCACACAATAAGCCTCGGCCAGGGTCAGTGTGGACAAGAAGCATCTGGTCTTTGGAGCCACCTGACCTGGTCTGAAATCTGGCTCGACTTTTACTCACACATGACCCGAGTTGATCCACGGGTTTTGAGTCTCAGTGCCCTAATCTACAAGATGGCTGGGGCACCCCCTGGCCCTCTGCTCTGTTCTGAAAACAGGATGACACAGAGAAGTGACTTAGCACCACGCGGGGCACAGGAAGCTACCGTGTGTCATTCCGTGACAGGTAAGTGAGCAAGGGTCTGTTGTGTGAACTTCACTCCCACTCTGGCTGATGTGTCTCCAGGCCAGACCGTACTGGACGCTGGAGGCACACGGGCTGGACGCATGTCAGGCCTCAAGGGCTCCCGGGCTAGGGAGCTGGAAGGCTTCCT